TTCCTGCTGAAGCCTGAGGTCAAAGAGAAATATGCCAGCAAAGAGTCTGGCCTCACAGTGGGGATCCACATGGGCAAGCCACTGCCAGCCAACAGTCAGACCAAGGCTGGGGTCTGACAATGTAGTGGGTCCATGTAATGTCTTGATCTTAAAATAAAGCCTGCTTTATTCAAACTTTGAGCAATGAGTTATAAATGCACCACTTGGGTTTCATACATGTTATCCCTCTAGAACATGATGTATACTACCACAATGTAATGATTGTTAGTCCGTATAGGATCCAGTCATGTATGGCTTTAAATGTGATGGGGAACTGAGTTTGGGGGGGGGGGGAGGTTGGCTATGGTTCCACATGCTCATGCAATTCCCTATTCTAATAAGAACACACAGGTGTCTGGGGGGGGGTGGGGACCGTACACCAAGGTTGAAAGCAAGACTGACACCTGATCGCTGCTTTAGATCAGGTGACTGCAAGCCCTATTGCGCCTCACTGCCTATACTACTGGGTTTGGCATGAACGCAGCTTTAATATCCCACTTTCAGCAGTATGTGTTCTTTCTGTCCTAGATGCACTTTACTCTTTACCATTGCACTCTTGCAATTTTTGTGAGGTAAAAATGTCTATTGCCACATGACTTTTCCACAATTTTGCTCCTCCACATGAACTGAAATCAGCTGACTGTGGTGCGAGTGCACAGGAAGAGTAAAGCATGTTTGATATTTAAAGATTGTGTTTGTCCTTTTCCTAATATTTGTACTGAAGGCTTTTCAGCATTTCTATTCACCTGCCACCGGTTGGTCAAGCAAATCCATCATGTGAGAGGCAATAGGTTTTTTTTTTTGTTTTTTTTTGTACCAAATTCAACCAAGATTTAGCCAGTCATGTGCTCCTCCACTACCAAGAACTGTAGAAGCCAATCACCTCTCGCTGCAGTGGCACTAAGCAAACTGTACTGAAGACTAATCAACATTTATATGTAGTTCACTTAGCTGCTTTTTAAAAAGTAAGTGCCAAGGATGTCAGAATAGCTCATTTAAATGTGTGAAAGTAAATCAAATAGTACAGTTAACTGCTTCTAAAACATTACTGGGAAATAGTATAACAGAGGCAAATTTTATTTGAGGCAAAGCTCATTTATATGAAAAGAAGTAGACACAGACTTCAACTTTCGTTCATTTTAGTTTTGCTAAATGGAAGTTTATGGTATAGTGGTAGAATACAGGGATACAAAGACTTGGTTGCCGCATGCTTGAATTCTTTATCAATTAGTTCAATATCTCTTAGTAAACTACACTAAAACCTACGAAAATTAAAGAATAAAAGTGAAATATGAAAAAAGTGAAACAGAAATGATCTGAAACAAATGCGCACAGACTGAAAAAAAAAACCATTTGTAACATAGATGTATAGAAAAAACAAACCTGATTCCCCACATATATTAATGCATGCTGTGACAACCCTTATTGTATTATAGCACCACTGCCCTACTATTATTGTAGTTGGGGGAGTCCCCTAGTGGGTGTGGGAGTATAGTGGTGGCTGTTACATGCTGATCGCATTGCTGTTCAGAGAAACCTTATCGCTGTAACTTGGCTGGCGCCGGCGACTACCGATCCCCGCACATGTATGTACGGACAGGGTAGAGCCGTGGGACCTGGCTTGTATGGTCTTATGTTGCTAACGTCAAATAAAGGTCTGTTTAACTAACTGGCTCTGAGTTATCCGGCTAACCTCCACACCACATGCCTGCTGGACCTGCTAGCCGCTCCTCCCTCGCCAGACTGCTGTTACAATGCATCTATCGATTAATCCTATATATAGTACATAGACTACGAGCGTGAGATTTGTGGCAATATAGTGTAGTGTAAAGCGTTTGTCCTATGAGTTACTGACTAAGCTGTTTCTGTCCCCCTGTTTTTTCCCTTAGACCAGTTGAATGAAGGGAGAAAGGAATAAAACCTTTGAGCATGTGCTCCAGTGGTGCAATCAGTTAGCGCGCGGTACTTATATGGCAGTATTAGGCTCAGCTATGCTGAGGTTGTGAGTTCAAGCCTCACCTGGAGCATAAACTTTGAGCTAATGTCAGGGATAAATGCTGAGCACACTGAAAATGCCAACAGACTTCATCGCATCTTTAAAAACGAGCAGCATTCAAAATAGAGATTAACAAACCCAGAATAATACCTCTCTGTGTTTGTTCTTCTTCTTTTTTGTCGACCAATGCGAGCTGTTAACCATCGAGATATAGCTTTTCCTTCAAAGTCAGATTTCTGGCTGTGTGTGTGTGTGTGTGTGTGTGTGTGTGTGTGTGTGTGTGTGGGTGTGAGGGTATGTGTGTGTGTGTGTGTGTGTGTGTGTGTGTGTGTGCGCGCGCGCGAGAGAGAGAGAGAGAGAGAGAGACAGTCAAAGAGAGACTGAGAAAGGGGGAGATGTGTATGGTTTTGGTAAAAAAAAGAAAAAAAGGAAAAGCTCTATGGGTTGTTGCTATGATTTTGTGCTATGAAGTTTTCAATCGCTTTTAAAGTAACAGCTCAATAATTTTGCTTTTTAACTCATTTCCCTTTCTTACCAAGAGAGTACAGTTAGGTCCAATCCCAGTAACAAACCCCTTAAA